CCTGCGCACCGCCGCCGCCGCGGGCGTGCATGCTCGCTGGCGGTGGACAGGGGTCACGGCGCAGAACTCGCACGGCGTGCACGCCATCCACGTCCTCCCACCCGCCATGCTGGCGCGCCAGGTGGAGGTGGTCATGGCCGACGTCGGCGCGGCCGCGGTCAAGACCGGCATGCTCCCCGACGCAGCCAGCGTGGTGGCGCTGGCCGCCGCCCTGCGCGCCTGCCCCGCCCCGGCCCCGGCCCTGGTCCTGGACCCTGTCCTGCTCTCAACCACGGGGGACAGCCTGGCGCAGCCGGGGGTGGAGGCCATGCTGCGCGAGCACCTCTTCCCCCTGGCCACGCTCATCACGCCCAACCTGCCAGAGGCCGCCGCGCTGCTGGGCGACGGCCGCGCGATCGTTGACCTGGAGGGCATGCGCGCCGCGGCGCGCGAGCTGCACGCCCTGGGGCCCTCCTGGGTCCTGGTCAAAGGCGGGCACCTGCCCGCCGAGGCGCGGCGCGAGGCGGCGGGGCGCGGCGCGGCCGCGGCGTCATCCGGACCGGAGCAGCCGTCGCGGCAGCAGACCGTGACAGACGTGCTGTTCGACGGGCGCACGATGCTGGAGCTGAGCGAGCCGCTGGTGGTGTCGGACAACGTGCACGGCACGGGGTGCTGCCTGGCTACGGCCATCGCCTGCGAGCTGGCGCGCGGGCACAGCGTGCTGGCCGCGGTGCGCCGCGCCAAGCGCTACCTGTGGCGCACGCTGGAGCGCTCGCGCGGCCTGCCCCTTGGCGACGGCCCGCAGCGCACCATGAACTTTGGCTGGGCCACCGCAGACTGGGCCGCCGATCTGGCCGCCGCGGGCGTGCCCATGCCGCCGCGCGTCCCCAACGCCGCCGACCTGCGCCTCTACGCCATCACCGACCCTGCCCTCAATGAACGCGCGGCGCGGAGCCTCATAGACGCCGTGCGACTGGCCATCGACGGCGGGGCCACGCTGGTCCAGGTGCGCGACAAGAACTCGCCCGCCCGCGCCTTTGCCGCCGCCGCCGCCGAAGCCCTGGAGCACGCGCGCGCGCGCGGCGTGCCGCTCGTGATAAACGACCGGCTGGACGTGGCGCTGGCCATCGGCGCCGACGGCGTGCACCTGGGGCAGGACGACCTGCCCGCCGCCGCCGCGCGACGTTTGCTGGGACCCGACCGCATCCTGGGCGTGTCGGTGAAGACGCCGGAGCAGGCCGCGCGCGCGGCGGCCGACGGCGCCGACTACGTCGGCTGTGGCGGCTTCGCGCCCACCAACACCAAGGCGGGCAACCTGACCGTCGGGCCGGAGGGCGTGGCCGCAGTCGTGCGCGCGCGCGTGCTCCCTGTCGTCGCCATTGGCGGCATCGGCGAGGGCAACGCCTCGGCCGCCCTGGCGACCGGCGCCGACGGCGTCGCCGTCATCTCCGCCATCTTCGGCGCGCCGGACGTCGTGCGCGCCACCAAGCGCCTGCGCGCGGTCGTGGACGCAGCGCTCACCGCGCGCGGCCTCTCGGAGGGGGGGGAGGAGGCCTGAGCTTGGAAGGCGCGCAGTGAGGGGGGGTCCAGATGCGCGCGGGAGCGTGTGTGGGCGTGTGAGATCCGCGTTCGTGGGCGCGAGAGGGATCCATAGGTGCGCTTGCGCATGAGAGGCGTGCGCGGGCACAGGACAGGCTCCCATCTCCCCAGTCCTGTCAATAAGAATGTACCGAGTGGCGCGAGAACAGTGTGTGCCAGTTTTCCATCGCGCGTGTAATGCAGCCGTCTGGACCCTTCTTTGAGTACATGAAGCAGAAGTACAGACCGGCAGTGGCACGATGCAGGCCAGCAGGATTATTAAACAAGGCCAATGAGACAGGGCTGTCAGGGCAGAGACAGCTTGGCGGCGGTGGCCTTGGACCCGGCGGCGTCGCGGGAAAGCGTGGCGGGGTCGCACCAGGGCGTGCGTTTTGTGTCGCAGGCCAGACTCACACCAATCATCACGGCGCCCTGCCAGGGCTGCATGCGCTCCAGCCTGAAAAGAGGAGGAGGTTGGGAGATGGGGGAAGGGGGAAATAACGGGGTGATGGGCTGTGTCGAGAGCAACAGGGTGGAGTTGATTGGGATAGACGCGACAGCTTGGACTTGTCTATACCGCAGCCGCCTTCCCTCCCAGGCACGCCAGTGAAGCATTGCCACGCCGCTACCAAGACCCCAACACGCCTGAAGCGGGTGGTGCTCAGTCCGGTGGCGGTGTCGCGCAGGAATTGGGGCTGGCTGCTCATGATCTTGGCCGCGCCAAACTCTTTAGTTGGCAGCACCTGGAAGTACTCCATGCCCAGGTCACCCCCCCGGTCCTTGCCGCGCAGCTGCTCATATGGGCATGATCAGTGAGGAGGGTGAGGCCCTGAATGTGCTCGAGGATGTGGTCCCAATGCTTGGCAAAACGTCGTCTGGTTGCCGATGTCAGTACAGCCAACGCTTCACATCATGCCCCAAGTGCCCATCCAATTGCAGGTAGCGCAGGAGCCCTGCTCGACACGGTACACCTCCCGGCGATGACGATCACCACTCACCTCTGCCGCCTGTTTGTGGCGCTGGTGGATGAAGTAAGGGCCGTGTTGAGTTCCCCTGGGCACATCAGGGTACTGGGGAGGCCACAACCCTGCGCAGGAACAGCAAGAGATTCGAAAATCGTTGTACAGGGTGCCATAAGCGCGCAGACCCGTCTGGCAGCCTCACCGGGTGTTGGCGATTCCACTCGCTGCTCACAAGCAACAAGCCTCGGCCCCAGAGCCCACTACACCCCCCAAATCATTTTCCATCCGCAAGGGACACACACCATGGTTCTGCAACCGCAGCTTCAGGTTGTCATCCTCCCTGCCCCACCCCCAGAAGTCTGTGCCAAAGCCATCGACACGGCTGATCTGCTGCTGGCTGATGCTCAGGATGCCTCCAAAAAAATCCTGCGAGGGTTTAATGGAAACGTTGAGATCATGCTCCTGAGAGGGAACAGGAGGGGAAGGTCTGCCATGCATGCAAATTTAACGTTGTTTCATTGTTGCAAGCAAATGCAGCAGCATCCCCAAAGTCTGGCTCGCACTGTACCCACCATGCCGGATTCCTAGAATCAGCCCACTCAGTCAGGCTCTGCATTTGCCCACACGAGGCAATGGCGTCATGCCCCTACGCCCCACACATACCTCAAAGTTGGCCTTGGGGTGGATGCCAAAAGGGGTGAGATGCAGCGGAACTGGGCCCGATGGAAATGCATACCGTATTCCGCTGCCCGGCCTGGGGATGGTGTCGACATCCTGGAAGATGAAGTAGTCGTAGGCGGAGCCTTGCAAGAGCAGCATGGCGGCATTCAACAGCGCTCCCCGATTGAAGAGATACATGTCGGCCTGTTCGTGGGTTTTGCGAGGGCTGCGATTGATGCACAGGCAGCTGCTGGCATCAACTTTGCCAGGATCCGGAGAATACTCATCAAAGCTGGATTTGAGATGGTCGGTCTCGGTGCCCAGCACCAGCACGTCACCCTGCACACCCTCGTGTCATCCCCACGTCGCACCTGTTCCACTATGAAGATGTCATACGTCAGTTTTTGTTCGTCCAAGTGGGTTCTGAGGGCAGGCATGAGCTTCTGCAGGTGCTCCTGCCGATCTCGGTATGGAATGAGCACAGCCAGGGTGTGCTCCGTGGTGTTCTGGGGTGCCTGGACCCCAAGCCGGCAGAACCGCTGCATGGGAACGTTGCCCAATCGTTGGCTCCTGTAGGCTCGCTCCAGGCCCTCCCCGGATGAGGACAAGTCAAGGCCCAGGGGCTGCAGAGGGCAGCAAGGAGGGGGATCCCGTGCTGAGCCTGCCACAGATTCACTTGGATGTGGTGGCTGAACTACGCGTCCATGGGCTGGACGTACCGATAGTCTGAGCACCAAGAGCACCACTGCTGTACATACTAGGCCCCCTGCCAGCAGCGTGCCCCGCCTGGCCAGCACGGGCACTCCTGGTCGGTGTGGTCGGGGTCCCCTCATCGTTCAGGTGCAGGCGGACGCTCACGACCCATGCCTCAGTTTATATATGTGGACCAAAATAAATTCCCATATATCGCGAGAAGGAATCACTGCATCTATTTCACAATCACGCAAAATGACACTGATACACAGGGTTTCGGGTGTCGCACCGTGTATCCCTCAGCACGCACAGCACTCGCACTTGCAATGGTCGCACTCATTTCCGGCACCTTCACCCCACTACCCTGTGCTCACATAATACTAGGTCTCTCTCAATGGTTGTTGACATGAAATAGAATGCACATTATGGAGGAGCGTCGTTGGTAGTACTGCACTGGAATGGCAACTCCCGGTCGGGCGAGGCAGAAAAGCAAGAGGGGAGCGACGAGCACCGTTGTGTGGCCCAGTGAGCTCACACAGGATGTAAGCTACTCGTTTTATGTGAACTAGCGCATTATATGCGATCAAATGCATGGATGTCGCGCTCAGGCTGCTGTGGTTTCCCTGCCCAGGTCATTGCCTTGTCAGAGGATGCCGGCACCAAGCTTGCGGCCTTTGCTACAGCCTGGCTGGAGATGTCCACATCCAACCCCCCTGCCTCACGCGTCCAAGCCGTGTGTAGTCTCGCTGAAAGGGCAGCTCTCGAGGTGGCCGGAAGAGCAGGAGTTGCATGATGCATGGGGTCACATCTTGTGCACGACAGCCACCCACGGAGGTTCCCCTTGCAGAGACCAACATACTCGCACTCTTTACTCCACAGGATGATGGGCCAGGTTCCAATACGACACAAGTGATAGGCATTCTCGGGCGCACACTGCTCGTGCCCGGCACAAAGCCCCTGCACCAGCCCATCCAGGCCCTCCTGCGACGGCTGCCTGACACCCCTTGGGCGGGAGCCCAGCTTTCAGAGCTGCTGCACTCCGCCTGCTCTGCTGATTCCCTTGAAAAGGGGACCAATCAAGCAGCCCCCGGGAGTCGGTCCGGCCTTCCCGCCGCACTGGTATCCTGCCTGGGGTCCTCAGCCCTGGCCAGCCATCTGAGGCTGCAGGCCACCGATCTCCTGCCGGCCCTGTGCGCTAGCATCGAGCATGCACTTCCAGTAGCGCACGACCAGGGCCCCAGCCGACTGACCCAGGATCAGCTGGAGGATCTTCTGGACAGCAGTGAGTCCCTGGGAGGGCTATGATACTGGGTGCCTCAGGCACTGAAAGGGGATATACAGGCCGATGACTGGTGCTGCCAGATGTCATTACTTTGTGCAACAATCACTTGCAGGCTGTCCATACCCCTTACAACATGCATATCAGTATTATCATCAGCATGTCCCAGAGAATAGCAACACGCTGACCCATGCATCACCCCCCGTCCTCCTTAACCCTCAGTCTCAGGACTGCACGGAGTCCTAACAGCAGCAGCGAGCAGCGAGCCGCTGCCTCTCCATCTCCTGCTTTGCACCTCCGCCACTCTCCATGCCGTGCTGTGCTCCAGCATGGCGCTGCGGGAGGTGCTTTCCTCGGCAGCCACGGCCATGCTCACCACACTGCGCGCAGTCCTTCCCTCTCAGGCGGCCACGGCCCTGCACTGGGCCCAGGCCCTGCAGCTGGGAGCGCAGAGTAGCCTTGCTGAGCCTGGCGACCTTGTGTCTGCATCTGAGTTGGAGGCATGGAGGCAGCTGGGAAAGTTTCGCGCCGACCTTGCAGCTCGTTTGACTCCCATGTCACGCATCTGCGCCTGTCGAGGTGAGGTTGTACACATTGGGTCCATCACCTCTGCCGCCGATACAGGTCCTGCCCAGAGTGGAAGGAATGCTATATACGCAAGTATTGGGGTTGATGCTGCTCCCATGATCTCACATGATCGCAGCACCCACAGATGCCCCCATCCCCACCACTGCATTGCAGGTGTGATTGAGGCGGCACCTCCAGGAGTTCTCAGTGCCGATCTGTCCAGCAGCGCCGCACCAGAGGCACATGCATGGCAGCTCCTTGTGCATGGCGCACTGCCGTTCTTCATCGATGCGGTGCAGGTACGAGATGGAGTGGGAATGCCCGGCACCGATGTTTTTGTGAGCATGCTGCACCCGACCCTGGCCGAATGTGTCATCCTCCTTACAGCAGTCACTCTAATGTACCTCCCAGCATGACCCAGCCATCCACTCCATCGTACCCCCCAAAACCCACAGACGGCCCAGGATGCGCCATTCCGCTACGTGGCGGTCACCGCCCTCTCCGCCGGACTTGCGCGACTGAAGAAAGTATGGCAGTGTCTGCAGGCTGAGAATGGGCAGGCTGTGGACTGCCCACGGCCAGCTCTGCTTGCCAAGGATATCCTGGAGCATCTCCTTGCCGTGCTGTGGCCCTGCTGGGAAGTGCGTATAGGAGTTGTGGATTTTGGAGGGGGCGGCTGCTGTGTATCTGGTCAAGGTCCGCCATCACAGCACGGACGAGACTGGCAGCATGCAAGCCTGCAATTCTTGCTAGGGTAGCCGAGCCGCCCCGCAGCACTGAGGGTCACAGCGCGTGTGCTGGCCCTGCTGTGCCGCCACCACACTCATGCATCTCCCTCTGCGGTCACAGGACCCCATGCGCCAGGTGGCCAAGGAAGCGCATGCCACATTTGCGGTGCTGCTGGACATACTGGAGCTGCAGTCGGCGAGGGAGGGGGCTGCCGTAGGTGAGTGTTTCTTGGAAGGGGTGCCAGATGAACTCCACTTTTACTCATGCACATGAGAGGAGATTGATACTTCACAAGTGGCAGTACTTCTTGACACCTTCTGCATGCCCCCACAGGTGACTTCCTCGATCAAGTGGCAGTAGAGTTGTTAAATCAGGGTACGAGCCTGGGCCAACAAGGGTGAAGGCTTCCGGACAATGACTTGGCAGCATGTGGTCCCGCTTGCATGGGAAGAAACCTCTGACCCCAAAAAATTCAGGCTCGCATCAATGGTCTGGGGTTCACCTCTGCCCCATCCACCAATCACAGGTGCCGGGCACAAGGGGAGGTACGCCCCCCTGGCCGCCATCGCCCCCCGCCTCGGCTACCACCGCATCCTGGCGTTGCGCCCCCCCCTGGTCCTTGAATCCCTGGCCCAGCTGGGCAACAACCGGCTGTGCACCTCCGTCTGCGGCCTGCTGAGGGCGTTGTGGACTGCAGCGTCCCACGATCCAGAGGCATCCTGGGTGCCGGGGACGGTGCAGGACACTTCTACAGCACTCATCGACGGCCCAGACGCCCTGCGGGCAAACCTGGCAGCCCATGTCCTCCCTCTGCTCTTCGGCATCCATCCCGGGGCCTGCGCCGCCCTGCTGGCTGCCCTGGATTCGCAGGGGCCAGGGGCCCCCGTGACCCCGGACCTCCAATCGGCGCGCATGGCCGTGCTCGCCGCCGGCCACGCCAGCGGGCTTGTTACCTGGGAGGGGGCCGCAGCGGGCGTGACCCCGAAACAACTACACGCCCACGTCTTCGCCGCCCTGCAAACCAGGAACGGAGAGCAGAGGTGACCTGGGTGTGGATTGGTGCGGGAGCGTGCAGGGAGGGTAGCAGATTTGGGAACCGGCAGATTAGGACCAACATGATGTCGATGCGCAGCAGACGCCACCCACGACTCCCACGTCAGGCTGGCTGCGGCGAGCCTGGTGTGCACCCATCCCAAGGCGCTGGCCCCCTTCACCCCTCGGGAGCTGGGCCTGGTCCAGCTCTGGGCGGAGCTGGAGATGGTCTGCGACTCCACGCCGCACCGCGAGAAGGTGCTGCGCCTGCTCTCCAAGGCAGGCGCCAGGGTGCGGGGTCTCGCGGCCGCCGCGCGCCAGAGGGGAGGTGTGTAGGAAGGTGTGGGAGGGAGGACGAGGGCCATGGTAGACAAGGTTGGGGGGGTGGGGGGGGGGGGGGGGGCCCCCAAGG